TCACTCTTATCAAGGCCAGATCAGACCTAAGTGTTGTGCTAAATGCATGGTACTGTGCAATCACACAATGATGCAACGCACAGTACTACAATAACATCCGGCGGGAAAAAAGTAGTGCATGCACTGGCTGCCAGGAGATGCATTGGGGTTCCATTCAAATGCATGGCAATGCAACACACATATCGCACAGTGTGCCATCGTGTGCGCTAAACCCGTGTGTGAACTGGCCCTACAGCTTCTCCCTTAAAAGAGAATTATGGCCAAACCTTTTTTGGCCATAGTTCTCTTTAGGGTCATGGGGGATGTTTACTAATGTCATCCTATGACCCAAAACTCAGCATATAAAGCGTGCTATTGCCAGCTGTATGCTGACAGCGCAGAGCCACACTGCGGCTTGAAAAGATACCGACAATTTTGTCGGGATCCACCCCACTACCTGATTGACAGCTGGCCCTGCCACTCTAGAGCCACAGCCAGCTAAGCCCGCCGCCTCCCCCATCTGTCCCTCCAGTCAGCGCTGGAGGAAAGGAGAGGGTAGGTGGCAATCCCTGTGGAGAACGGTGACTGACAGTCACTTCTCACTGCAGGGAGAAGATTGTGAACTGAGTGATCAGCTGATCGCTCAGTTCTCGATCAATAGAGCCGGCGTGTGACAGCTGCAGTGTCACATGTCGGCTCTAACTATGGGGATGAGTGTACTTCACTCTTTCCATAAATCTCCTTTAAATTGATGAAACACTAATTTTCCGAATAGGCCACCAGTTGAGCAACACTGATCTTACTGAATGGGAGCTCATACTGCGAGTACCATAGGGGAAGTAATAGCCTCATGGATATCTAGTCTTAGCATTGGCTGGGGCTCACTGATCTGACAAATTGCATACAGTAGAGCTGCCATACTTCTTAAAAAGCTGCGTACTCCAATCTGACCAAGTGGGATATAAGGCCCCGTCCTATTTTTGCTGCGCAGATCAGTGCGGTTTTCACACAGCTGTCAATGGAACCCCGCTGATCAGCGTGGTTTTGGGCGTTTTGAATTGCATTTCAGCGCTGAAACGCAATGAAAAACTCCCAAATCCTCCCTTATGAAATCAGCACAGTAAGCCCGCTGATCCACAACCACCCTGGTGTGAATGGGCTCTTAGTGTAAACAGGCCAGGAGCATGACTTTGGACCTGTCATTGACTTTGAACAGAAAGAAACAAACTTATTCAAAAACAGGCAACAGAAAATAGAGCACTCAATGGTGAAGGGAAGTTGAGAACTTTTCCAAACAGAAAACAGAAAGTGAAGGACTTTTTCAATTGCAGACATCTGCCAAAATTATTTTTTCCTTTTCCTGAGCAGAAAAGCACATTGTACATGCATTGACCAAATAACTGTATTATTGTTTTGTTTTGGTAAAGAAGCAAATCATAAATTGGGTAATTTTGCAAAGAGAAAAACACTGGATAACAGTTTCACAACTGTGTGTATTAGTCAATATGAAATAAAAATGGAAGCTGTGAGCTATACTTTGTAAATGGTGTAAATAAATGGAACGAGAGTCATTATTCTAAAACACTGCGTACATCTACTCTACAGCTGGTCTACAAGAGACACATGTTTCTGCAGATGTTTCCAATATTTGTTGGGTACATGGACATGGTCACACCCTTCTTCTGACAATCTAAACATGTCCCTTTCCATGCAGTCATAAAATGTGGGATTCGTGGATGTAGAAGGTCCTAAAAGCAGACATATTAGAATTCTATGTTAACAGCCAATCTGTAAAACAACTTCTGCTTTTTAATGTTTAAGAAAGGAGAACCTGACATTCGCTTTCCAGACGGCAACCCACAGTTAAGCAATTTCTATTAATATCAAAGCTTGAAAATACATAATCTCATCAGATGAAGTATATTTTGACTAGCATGCTGGGTATGGCATCTGGGCTTTACTTGTCTTGTAATAACAGTTTCTATCTCACAGCAATTTAAAGTAGAACACAAGCCAAAACTTTTTTTGTTTTGTTTTGGATAGAGTAAGGGCCGTCATAACTCCTGTCAGCTTTTTTGGGTATCTGTGTCCCATTGGTAAGATTTCCCTTCCTGTCTGATATCTACAACAGGAAGTTAGAGGAAATCCCTCCAAAGTGAGGGAAATCCCGTGAGGTCACTAGCACCAGTGTCCCCATTGGAAGATTTCACATATATTTTCAGGGATCCCAACCTGAAAGAAGCAATTTCAGGGAGGTGTCCCTCTCATTTCAGGGAGGTATGCAAAGTGCAATAGCCAATAGGAATCTAGCTATGCATTCGTATGCCATTTTTTTCCCCGTGCATTCGTATGCCTTTTTTTTTCCGCTGCTCCCGATGTGAGAAAAGAAAAAAAAAAAACGATCGCAGGATAAGGTTTAATCTGCTCGATCGAGAGCCGCTATCTAATAGCGGGAGACTCCCGGAGCGTCCGCGAGAGTTGGGATGTCTGTATTTCTGTTCTGGTTTTATTATCTCATGATCCTGCTCATCAGACTGAAGACATCTTGTGGCAAAAACGTACTACAAGGGAAATCTCTGAAGATGAAACTTCTGCAAAAGCTGTTTTTATTCATTTATTATTCTAATGGGCTATTCGTTTTTATCTTGCTATTATTGGCTGGAGTTCTGCTTTTAAGCTGAAAAAAAAAAAAGACATGTCTATTTTTTCTTTTTCAGTTCTCTTATCGAAGTTTTGTATTTTCCTGGACGCTTACAAAAACAAGATGCTGCCTATGGGGCGACATCCAATTTAAAAGCACAATCAATAAAGCTGATACACGGCTGGCTGTTTTTGTTGTGGGGCTTCCTTTTTCCTCCCCGACTCCCTGAATTCCTTCTGTTTGCCTGCAGACGCCGTGTTATTGTTTTGGGTTAAGGTTCAGAAAGGCTCTTCACTTAATCAAAACAAGAAGGCCTTTCCTCCGCAGCTTGTCCCCAGACTAGATGACATCTTTCCGCTGTTTTCTGCTTGCCAGAAAGGTTAACAACCGTGTTTTTGCACTGAAAAGCGATTTCGCAGAACCATTCAGCTATTTGTGGAGATATTGGATTTCCGATGTTAATACGAAAAGTCTGCGGAGTAAAGAAACAACACGTGCACCTGGACAGTCAAATTCCAATATTATTCACTGACTGTGTAATAATGACAGCCTGATCCTTGAAGAATTTATGTTTAGCAGAAACTTCCTCATATTTCCATCCAGTGAACCCTATGCCTTACAGCAGTAAGAAGAAAGAACTAATGATGCAATTTTAAGAAGCTGCAAATGACTAACGTGCATTGACAGAAAAAGGAAGTGCTAAAAAAAAAAAATGTGTGCAGATATGATCAGGTAACTCAGGAAAGACGTGTCTGGGTCAGCTATTTTAGGTGCAGCTTAGATGGAAGGCAGTTGTTCAATCACCTCAGCTTCAATATATCATATTTTTGGTTTTGGGTTTGTTTGTGCTTTAAAGGGAAACTGTCACAAAGATTTGAACAGTGCCTGCCTTAAAAAACCTCTGATAAAACCTTATACTCTTATATGGATGTACTGCATTTCAGTTCCAGGGCAGTGAAGCTGGACATATGTAGGCAGAAAAGATTGCAAGAGAAGGCAATGTCCAAAACTAGCATGCTGGCCAGTAGTCAGAGTGGCAGCTTCTATGACAGTGGTTCTCAAGCTGTGTAAGCTCAGGACCCACTTTTGTCCTTGGTCAGTAAGTCGTGACCTGGTGCCTCTTCTGGAGTCTTCTCTTGTGCGTGGAAGTTGTCTAGAAGTCCATGATCAGTGGTGAAGCCACAGTTGGTCCGGTTGCATCCCAGCGAGCTCCCCCTCGTCACAGGCACTTTTATGTAGTTTGTCACCCTTGGATCAAGGGGGGACTAATTTTGGTTTACGAGATTTCACTATTTATTGCTCAAGCCCTAATGACTGAGCAATAGTTAATTTTTATTGATATACAGTTTTATAAAGTTAATAAAGTTTAATTTATTTACAACATTTTCAAACCAATAAAGTGCAACCATTTAAATTCCAATTTATTGTTGTGTTTTTGTTTATTGTTGGGTATCATGGTGCCATTCCTTGTGTTTTCTCTTCCAAAAAGTTGTACCATAGAGGTCCTTGGACAAGAAGAAGAGGAAGAAATGGCATGTTGCCTCCAAAATGCCAGACAATCTGCCTCCATAATAAAATACCCAATTCCACTAGCGATACAGCTTCTTGATGTTTGTACATCACAACTATGCCCAAGGACAGGCCGCTCTCATAGCTCTCATATTGTCTGCTGGATTGTTCATTAATAGAGTAATAAAAAGGTTCTCTCGCAGGCTTACTTGAGCAATTCTCCCCAGGTAACTTATTTTGCATACAGTGTAGGCATACTGTGATGCTATAACTGTTAAAGAGACCCTGTCACTAGAAAATTCGTTTTAACAACAATCTTCCCCTAAAATTACGTGTGCATTTAACATATTTTCGGCATGTTATTGACCTGTAATAGCCTCCATCATGTAGACATTTAAAACCTTGAAATGTCATGTCCTTTAGATATTCAGCGTGGCTCAGTGAAGTACATGTCCCATGATGCACTGGGCTATCAGTGATGGAAGGGCAGGATTGTGGGTATTGACAGTTGCCTACTCCTTCTACTAAAGAAAGCACTGACTTAATTCCATCCGCAATGATCTGAAAGAACTACACAGTCTGTTACATGACCGGTTGCCCCTCTCAAGGAGAGAGAACACAGTGCTGGCTGGTCTTATAAACTAGATATTTAGAAGAATGAACCCTGGAAAACATTATGTTACAAAGCAATTATTGAGTGCCTGCTGCACAAAATGTAAAGCAAACTCAAGATTTATGGAAGGTAAGAGAACACTGTTGCCTTTATATTTTTGACCGGCGTTCAGCTCTAAGAACCATCCTGCTGGCACGGCCTAAACACAGCCACCATTTAACAGTCAAGCATTTTAGAAACAAGGAACACAAGACTCACCTGTTTGTTATTCTTATTACGATTACTGTCCAGTAATCCTCCACATCTCCCCAGTGCTGCCAGGTCCTTCATAATTAGATTGAGGGCTTCCTCTTCATCTGAAAAAGATCAGTCATAAATTAGAAGGCCATCACTATGCCCATGACATAAAACACAGCAAGTCAGCATTCTGCAGCATGTTGACACTGCAAACATGGACGTGTTGAATTGCTGAACTTTAAACCCTATTAAAAGGATATCCAGCATCATATTGATCAGCCATATAAGTCACTGGTCTTTTTTATGGCTATTTTGTGCAGTCTGTATACTCCTTGTAAACCGACCTTAACACCTAAAAGGCATGTCTGCGTTACTAAATACTATTTTTTCTTCACTATTAAAGCCGACCTTCAGCAACTAAGCAACTTTTCCTTCCTGAACTCTCCCCCACCCCCCAAAGTGCAATTATTCTATCTTTAAAAAAAACAAAAAGCCATTATCACCTAGGTGAGAATGATGTGTCCTGCTCGTGCAGTCTCCTTGGATATCTCCGCCTCACAGGAGACTGCGGGAGCAGGGAGAAAATAAATCACCAGCTCACCAATGGATGTTCATCTAATGACGCCTTTCAGCATATCAAAAAAAGAGCACCGTTTCAAGACCTCGCTGGGTCCCTTCATCAGGAAAGGTGACCAACTTCCCTGCTACTAAACATTTATATGCATGTCTTTTTTTTTTTTGGACTTCATTTGGACGTTCACACATGTTTTACACAAACACGCATATACCTGGTGGAGGTACCATCTGGTGGATTTACCATCTGTGATGCTCAGATACAGGAACAGTACTAATGATAACTCCCAACATCCCAAAACAAATGAGGAAAAGTCTCATTATGCAATGATAAGATGGTAGCACTGAACAAATCAAACACTTGCCAGTGAGATGTAATTTATCATCTCACCTTCCATGAGGTCATCCATCCTCCAACACCTGTAAAAATATCGTTAGAGTTATTTTGTGCCCAGGCGAAATAGGCCAAATGAAGGATAAGAGAGCTGCCAGGTGGTTATCATTGCATTTAGATAATCACTGCCCAATACCTGGGACTTGGATGACAGTATATTCCTAAGAGATGAGTTTGGGCAACAGAGACCCTTTTCTTTGCTCCGGTTCATATAAAGAAAAGGGGATTGGCCCTGACACTGTGCTCTTTAAAATCAGAGCAGGAATGCATTAGGATTATATATACAGCGTATCTAAATCATTGCTGGACTCCTGGCAGAGTGATGTTTACTTGACAATCAAGTTAATTTGCATAATGTTTTTTGGCACAGAAAATCCAGAAATTAAAATATTTGCCGCAGATTTTTTGGAACTAATAAAAAGTTCAAAAAATACCCTATCTTTAACCTACCTCCTTAAGTGGGGTATACACAGTACGAATGTCACGGTTCCTGATGAACTCGCTGAAATTTGCACAGTGGGTGCCCCTGTGAGAGCCTTTCTACCCGGCATCCTTCGATCAGCTGATCGAAGGAGGTGGTTGGAAAATTATTGGCCGAACAGAGCTAGCAGTCAATGATATACTAGCTCCCTCCAGGTAGTGTGACAACGGCCGCTGTCAGAATACAATGCAAACTGAGGGGGATTCGTTCGCCAAATCTCGTAAGCGTTGATGGAGGAATCTGTAATATTTTCTTTGTTTATCCCGCAGGTTGAATGAAGAAAATATATATGTGTACACCAGCTTCAAACTGACCCTAAAAACTACCACCTCTCAAATGCAGAAACCCATAAACCCTAGGCCCTGATTCACACCTGAGCATTTTGTAGCTGGAAGTTCAAAACTCCAAAACGATCAAGAACCAAAATCCTCTGCTTTTAAATTGTGCCTGTTCACATATGAGTGCCCAAGCGTCTGTAGCTCGAAACCTGAAGGTCACAAAGGTATATGAGTTAAGCTGGCCATACACCTAGAGATTATCTGCAGATTTTCTATGGTCAGATGGAAAAGCGCAACAGATTCCTCCATCTACGCTAAACTGAGTGGATGGAAGAATCTCCCGCTGGGCCAAGCTTCAGTATCATGCTAGTCGGCCCCACTGGCTCTCAAAAATCCTGAACAACCTGATTGGATACAGGCATTGTTCAGGTATTTTGAGAGCCAGTGGGGCCGACTAGCAAGATAGTGAAGCTTGGCCCAGCGGGAGATTCTTCCATCCACTCAGTTTAGCGTAGATGGAGGAATCTGTTGCGCTTTTTCCATCTGACCATAGAAATTCTGCAGATAATCTATAGGTGTGTGGCCAGCTTTACTTTTGAAGCAGAATGGGGCATTTTTGGCCTCATAGACTTTAATGGAAGCACCTGAAACACGCCTGAAATTGAGCATTTTTCAAGGCTAAACAACCTCTAAAGGCTAAATAATCTACTTTTTCTGGTACTTAGCTTTCCATTGGCTATAACTAAAATGCTTAAGCTGAAAAAAACACACAAAAAACAAATAAAAACTCTGCAGATTCACCTGTAAATGCTCACATCCAGGTATGAATGTAGCCTAAAACTTATCTAACTCTAACACTTAAAATCTATTTTTAGTATGTCTGGCATCATGCCTCACTGTGTACAGTTTTCTATAATAACTCACTTTTTGTGAATCTGTGGCAAGGTAACCTGAAGATTTTGACATTAACGGCTGATTATGCTTTGTCCCTGCCATGTAATTAGAACTGGTGTTGTCAGGCTTCTGTGCAAGTTCCTTCAGTTGGCTGTTGGACTGTTTTGACCTGTTAAGCCACCGAACATCCAACTAAACGAGCTTGCATGGTAGGCTGACTAATGCCGCTGGTAATTGCGAGGCAGTGGCACTGGATTGTTAGCCTTAACAAGAGAAACGAGAAAGTGAGAGGAAATCCTTCCAATGCGAGAAATATCCCTGGTTGTCACCAGAAATGGTGTCGCCATTATAAGACTCCCCCTCCATTCCTGTTGTGGTGGCAGCCCAAAATTAGGGATTTTCTTTCACTTGCACTGTTGGTGATTACGTTTAGCTGAACAAACAAAGATGGTGAATCTTCTTCACGGGGACACAAACAGCAATCAGAAACTGACAGGAAGTATGGGTATTACTTTAAACTGTGGAGGTGGATTAGAAGGATGGGGAAGTGAGGGGAGAGTTCTTTATAATCACTGCAGGTTCACTGTAACAAGTGAGAGTACAATTCAGAAACACATATTTGAATGACAGGAAGAAAACAGTTTTCTATGGGCATGGCAAGCTTTCATTCAGGAAAAGCTTAACATTTTACCTAATTACACCAAGCAGATTGTTACAAACAATTACATTTATATCATTACATTTGTATAAGGAAGTATCAGCCCTGGTAAACGGGATTATTTTACCTCAGTGTTTTGCACCAGGATTGCTTTATCAAGTGGACTGTGCTTAGCTTACTCTCACATCATAGCATTACGCAAGCCCAATAAATGTATGTCTGCTTTAAAAATGAACACGGGATTTGCTTACGTGATTTCTGGAACACGGAGAAAAACAAGGCTGATTGCTTCCAGGAACAGCCAGCCTTTTAAATGTTTTCTTATTATTATTTGAAATCAGCATACACTTAAAGGCTAAAGCTGGCCATACGCTATATGAATTTTGAGAGGTTCTTGATGAAATTCGCACAGTGGGTGCCGCTGTCAGAACCCTTTCGGCTGGCATCCCTCAATCAGCTGATAGAAAGAGACGGTCGGAAAATCTTCGAACAAACAGAGCGGGCAGCCAATCAGCTGCTGGCTCTGTGCGGGTATTCTGATAGCGGCCACCAGCTGAATACAATGAAGACAGCAAGAGGTTCTTCGATCACTCTCGTAAGAGTTGATGGAGGAAACTGTTATATTTTCTATGTTCAGCCAGCAGGTTGAACGAAGAAAATATTATAGTGTACGGCCAGCTTAAATTTACCTTTTAGGCCACGTTTCATGTTATACCCATATTCAGGTTGTAACATAACACATGGTCACATCACTCCCC